CCCCCTCCTCTCTCTCTCTCTCTCTCTCTCTCTCTCTCTCTCTCTCTCTCCAAATCATCAAGCAACTAAGGGGATTGAACCAGAATGGTCCATTTTTCTCCAACGTGGTGTGCATGCGGCTGCAAGACCGGGGGTCGACCTACCGGAGCAAAATTGCTGGCGCTGCCAGCCAAAAGATGGCCTGCACCGGTTCGTTGTTTTTGGGCGCGTCGGACGTTTCTACTACTTTCTACGCCCGACAAGGGAAGGGTCAAACGTACTGGTGGTTTGATTCAAAGAAACTGTGCTAGTCGACGAAGACGGAATCAAGGGCAAGAAACGCAAACACACACAACGCCGAGGATGAAAGGGTTACTGCATCCAGAAGCAAGCACTAAGGCTTCAAAACAAAATGGCTTGGCAGGAGGGCAAGCAGGAAAGAGAGCAGGCCATTTTTCTTCCTTCTCTTTTTCTTTTCCCCTCTTTTTTTCCTTTTTATGAAGGGCGACGGTGCTGAGATACCATTGTTGAATAGATGAACTGAGCTGCCCTACGTAATTCAGAAGACCATCTGGATTCGAACTCAGGTTGGTATTTCAACAGTTCATGAGTGTACCGATTGTGATAGGCTCATTGGTGGAAAGCGACATTGCAGGTAACCGTGCGGGCATCAACTTGAAGGATAGGAGCAAAACCAAAACAGTAACCCTCACATGCAGCAAGTATCAGAGCGTACAATCACCCGCTCACTCACCTACGCACACCATATAGAAAACTTGTCTAGGCTCTGGCCATCCTCAAGAGAGCCTGGGAGGCACAAGAAGAATGTATGCCGCCACCAGAAAACCTGGCCATCATAAACACATCAGCCCCCTGAGAGCGCAGAAGGCAATTCGATCCCAGAGTATAACAGTGTTAGGGTCAGGGCACGCGGTGCAATGATAATCCTAGGAAAGAACGAACCTGACCACAATTACGGCCAGTGGGGCCTCCCCCCACTCGGCAAATCTCATGGGCGTTGTTGCACAGTAATTACACAGTGGAAACCAGGGAAAGAACGGAACAAACACAGTGTACAAACCATAAAGAATGTCTCTTAAACAGAAAATGAAGTTTGATGAACTAACAAAAAGTATGGTTGTGTGTCTGTGTGTTTGTGTGTCCGCGCGCGTGTGTGTGTGTGTGTGTGTGTGTGTGTGTGTGTGTGTGTGTGTGT